TATGGAATGATTTGCTGTGCGATGTTGTGATGCATAGAGTATCCTCCCAAAAACCTATAAAATCTCACTGAACAAAAGACCAGGACTCACTCCCTGGGACCGCTGCATCGGGAACGGTTGTGAGTCCAGGCTCGAGCTTGCATTAAAGACTCTTGTGTGCTTGCATCGGATTCAGCTCCTGGAGGTCTGTTGGGGTCCATAAATCTGGCATTACAGTAGAACACCCCTGGGCTCAATCCCTTGTACTGACAAAGGTAAAAGAAAGAAAAACTCGTGGAATATAGCAAAAATAATGTATAGAGGGAAATGTGTAGTTGTAAATGCTTATATTTAAAAAAATAAGGAAAACCTCAACTCAGTCAACTAAACTGAAAGTAAGCGGAAGGAAGGAAATAAAGATTTGAATAGAGATAAAATAGGGAATAGAAAAAATTTTGAGAAAATGAAATAAAGAATTGCTTTCTTTAAAAGATTCTAACTAGACTGATCAAGCGGGGGGGAGGGAAAAGACACAAATTACTAAATTTGGAATAAAAGGACATTCTTACCAAAAAAAAAGAAAAAGAAACAAAGAAGGAAGAAAATACTATAAACAATTGTATGCCAACAAATTAAATAACTTATAAAATATGGGCTTATATCTAGAAAGACATAAACTACTAGGATTAACTCAAAARGAAACAGAAAATCTACCAAGACCTATTGCAGGTTAATGATTTAATTAGTAATATATTAATTCCTCAAAAGAAACATCCCGGATCATATGGCTTCACTGTTGAATTTTGTCAAACATACAGAGATTCAACACTAAGCTTTTCAAATTCTTTTTAAAAAGAAGAATAAAAAAGATAGGCTTCCCAGTATTCCTTTCATACCAAACAAAGACATCACAAGAGAAGTCAACACAGATTAATCTTTTATACACAGTTATGTTTTAGGTATAAGGTGCCTCCCAAAACACTCATGTGTAAGAAAATGCAAGAAATTAGAGGCAAAATGCTTGGGTTAGGAGACCCTTCACATAATCAGTGAATTGATCTGCTGATAAGGATTAACTGGGTGGTAACTGGAGAAGGTGGGTTCCTTTGAGGTTCATATTTTGCCCATGGGTGAGGAAAATTCTTTCTCACTCTCTTCCTCTACCCCTTCCTGGTTCTATGTCCTGAGCTGCTTTCTTCACCACACTCTTCCACCATGGTGTCCTGCCTTACCAGAGGGCCAGAGCAATGGAGTTGGCCATCTCTGAACTGAGACCTCTGAAACCATGAGCCCCAGCTGATTTGCGTAGAGTTGAGACACTTGTAACCCCTGATAATGAAGTCTACATAGCAGGGGATCAAGTTTCTCCAAAACCACAAAAACAAATCACAGTAAGCAAGTAAACTTCAGACTCCCTTCAGAACTGCGAATTTCTTCTTTTGGTTGGATTCACAGGTTCTTGTTTCCCGGGACCTTCATGCTCTTTGTTGGCATAAAGCCATCTTTGGTTGGCTGTGAAGCTGTATCTATGCAACTGGAGGCAACTGTGTAGGTAGAGAGCTTAACAGGAGGACCCCAGGAAGAGGACACGGAGAAGGCTGAGTGGATGGTTGTGAGCCCCCTTGTCTGTGATTGAGAACAGCAGTTGTGGTTCATACCTGCACTTTTGTATGACCTCTCATGACCTCTTACTTTCCAAGGTCTGGTTCATGGGTAGAAATGACCATGAGGCTGACTAGCAGACCTTGGCTTTAGCTATAATTTTCAGGTATAGAATTCTCTAACTTGGAGGGTTGCATGTTGTGGTCTCAGATTCTCTTTCCACTAACTTAATGCTGGTTTATCTCGAATACAGGTTGTCCACACAGCAGGTCATTCACCACATATGGATGTAAGTCGCCCAGCTTGCAATATGAATGGCCAGCGCCTCATTATGTGGGTCTGTGTGGAGTTGTCTCCACTTTCTGTATTACTTTAACCTTTGCTCACATATATAACTACCTGCTGCCGATGTATTTCTCTGTTTTAAGGATTGAGAATGGGTTAAAAAGGTCATTTCGTCTTCATTTAATAACAACCACTACTGAAGAGTGACTGTGTCTAGATGTAGGTTGGCTGTCACACTTTTTAAAAAATTATTATGTGTATTGTAGGAGGTAGGATTAGGAAGTTCACTGTTCAGGAATTCTTTACCTCCTGTGCAGAAGAGCAGATAACTAGCACTGCCCTGGCTTTGGTTCCAGGAACCCCCAGCAATAGTGGGGCCCCCAATCTAACATGAGCACAGGTGCTTCATAATGAACATGACTAGCATGCTCAACTGCATAATGTTCTGGCATTGTTTTTTTTGAAAGGCATTAATTTATCAAATAAATTGTTTATATTCAAAAAGAAAACAGCCTGCTTCTAGACTGCTTTTTCAAACTCTTCCAGCCCCTGTTCAATGCCAGTTCCCAAATTTTCAATATTTGTTATAGCAACAGCCCCACTGCTCTGATATCAATTTTTATCTTGGTCTGTTGTGTGTTTCTGACAATACCACAGACTGAGTAATTGATAATAAATAAATATTTATTAGCTTTGTGGTTCTGGAGTCTGGGAAATCCAGCATCAGGTGCCAATATCTGGCAAGGACCTTCTTGCAATTGTCTCATAGTAGAAAGAAGAAGCACAGAAAGGATGGGGGGGGGGCAAAAGGGAGCAAACCAATCCCTTATAAAGAACCTGCTCCCACAATAACAAACACCCCCCATGAAACAGCACCATTATTCCATTCATGAGAGCTGAGCTCTCACGGTGATGGTGGTGATGGCAATTGAACCCAGAGCCAAGCATACATGCCCTAATATTTGATTCTATTGATTTTAAATCAAAGCCTACATCAGACTTCCCACATTATGTCACCCAAAGGGCTATCTCCCCATCTACGCTTGGGATTGATTCTGACTGATCACAGTTATGAAGTACTTGTCATATGCCCCGACCCATTTAAGAAGTAGAAGGGGGTGGCTCAGAAAGCAGTGTGGTGAATCTAATGATGGAAACATAMGTTTGTAGGMCAAGCAGAAGWTCCAYCACCTCACATACACTGGGGAGTCAGGTCAAGCATGCATATCTTACTCTGTTTCATGCCTGATCATACTTAACCCCGYCACTACCCTATTCTGTCAGTGCCCCATTTTGCTCATGAGAAAACTG